GGGCGCCATCACGTCACAGTAGGAATCTTGTGGAGAGAAATATTCTTCATCGAGTCAAGGGTATTCGAAAAACCCCAAGCTACACATTGAAATGCATTTTTTGGCTAAAAAGATTGTAAACAGTAGCTTCCACACTCACTTGGCTTCTTTGATAAAATTGGTGTTACTGCCATTACGTCACGGGTTCTAGTACTCTTTAAAGCGGCCAAAGAGATACGGGGAGCCTAAGTTCGATACAATTTCGGACTTTTATCGCCTCGTAAAATAACAAAGACGCATCAGAATCACCCTTAGATCCTACCAGACACCCTCTACATACTTCTACTTTTATAATTTAATGCTAAAAAATAGGTGTCATAGGCACTTTAAAAATTAGACATTAACTACCACTAACAGGTTTTCCCATCATAAATGTTTCATAAGAACAGATTTTCATCACATTAAGTTCTATTTTATATATTTGAAAGGATAATTATATTTTAATACATATAAATTAAGACAGATAAATGTAGAAGAATGATAAAATAAATTATGACTTCCTATATAATTCAGGTTTTAAATAAGGAAATATGTAATACCTCTTAACAAGAATAAAAGGCCATGCCATTTATGACTGTTCAAACAGTTTATGTAAAAACAAAGATGGAATTTAAGAAAAATACTAAAACATGGCATATCCCTTTACTGACATTGGCTAGCACACACAGATGAGAAAGAGGCTCTAAAAAACAGAGTAATAAATTAAGGGTTCAGGAGAATCACATTCAGGGGCAGATCAAGGGGGAGGATGCAGGGGGTGCGCACCCCCCCCCCCCGAGATGACTTGCGGCTTTCTAAGTGGTATTCTGCACAAAAAAATAATATGTGGTTTATTGGTGTTGAAGTAGAGCAAGAAACGTGGTTGAAGAATTTATGTTAAACGGCGTAAAAATGGTATGTTATTGCCTAGGCAAAAGCCTTCTTCGTATTCGCTATTACAATTTGTTTACGTCCGGTCACCAGTCAGTTACGCCATTCTTTAGTGGTGCACCCTCTCTTCAAAAAATCCTGGATCCGCTCCTGACATTAAGTTCTATTTTGACACTTGCTAACCAAGTCACATTTTCAGTGCTCACTCTGGTAAGTCACTCGAGCTCTGCAAGTTACTCGAGCTAAGTTCAGAAATTTTAATTTTACCTTCCCACACTTGAATTAAAACATAAATTCATCATTTGTAGGCAGTTTAGTGGGGAAATTAAAGGTCAAATGTGACATAAAAAGAAGCGCATTACAACAAAATAAAGCAGAAGGATTTTACGTATTGCATGCTTCTGAATACAGCTATGAAAGGAAGTCTTAGTCTACGTTTTACCGCAGATGTCGGGCGAAGAGAAAGTCGCACCAAATTTTGCAAGGCAATTAATCCTTTTCCCCCCGTTCGAACGAATTGAGTAGGAAGCTTAAAAACATAGGACTACGACCAAACAATGCTGTTCAAACTTTTTTGCAAAGGAAATAATTCCATGAAACCAGCGTGTTTGTTTGTATCACACCTTTGATGGATTCTCACATAACAATAGTCTCAATCGAATTACCGCGACAAACGTACTTGAAACATGAACATCGCTGACTCAACCTCATTTACATTTTAATTTTCGGAAAGGCGATTTATTCAAATGCTAGGGTAAACCACGTATTTTCGACGTAGGAACGAATCTTTTAAATGAATAACAGTAACTGAAGAGTCAATGATAAAAGTTTGCTTAATTTCGCTGCTCGCAATTTTTTCCCCTCAACACCAAGACTGAATTAAATATTCCAAACGCAAGGAAAATAAATAATTTGGCGAATACGAACACTCTGAAATGTTGTTTGAACGATTAGCCGGCGCGGAGGTTCCTAAACGACGATACCAAATAATTTTACTGCAAAGTCATTTAAATTTTGGCCCGAATGAAAACTATGAGTTATAAACCAAGAATCGTATCAAACTAAACATTTCGCATTTCGAATTTTCCTGGGCATCAGCTTGAGAAAAACTCAGATAAGACTCATCTTACCTCCTAGCTTTTCCTCGTCCTTTCTCGGCTCCTTCATAGTTCGCTTTCACCGCATTTACCTTTTTTCAGTCTATTTTCTGGAGCTCTTTCTCTTTCCTTCTCACTTTACTCTCCATCAGACGAAAACCTTTTTCTCAAGTTCTTTCTTGTTTCCCTTCGCTTTCCTTTTACCCGTCTTTCTGCCTCTTTGGTCAAGTCCTTTCTCACTCTCTTTCGCGTCGGTCACGACCCGCTGTATGCTTTGGCTTCTTTTCTCTTCTTCCTGCCTCGGTTCACTTCAACCCAGTCTCCCCAGAGTTGAATTAAAGTAAATTCTTCCTGGCCTGTTGTCATGGCTTTTTCTACCTGTATTGTTACTTTGGAAGATGATATGAAATCGCAAATTACTGAAAAATAATGTTTTCAATGTGTTCTCAATCAGCATGATTTCCCGCTCAAACCAACATACACTGTACCTGGAGAGTGCATTCAGTGCGTACACCTCATCAGGCTGCTCATATATTTTACTAGCGCAAGCGCGCCCGATTTCCAAGTCATACACATAAGTACGTATAATTAATGTATAATTAATGTATAATTAATGCCCAGGAATGGTCGTACGGTCACATAAAAACGAAAGTTTTCGGCTGGATTGGTTACTAATTTTGGAAATAATGATTCTTAGCTGCGCGCGTTGCGAGCTCCGCTATTGTAATCGTCCGCCATCTTGGATTTCATAATTCATCTAGGTATACGGCTTTAAACACATCAGAGCGGATTAGAATACCCCTGTTTAGTGATCGATCAAGTTTCCACTCTCTATATTTTGAACATACGAACCTCTTTACGCGGGTAATTTTAAGTTGTGGACACTGAAGCTGGACAGATTTTATACAGCAACGATGAGAGTTCACTCGCGGCGATAATTTTACTTTTCGTATCTGTTTTGAAGTAAGTTAATTGCGAGAAAACGCTCTTTACAAAGTTATGCCTCTTTCTAACAGAGGCATAACAGAGGACACTAGTGCCTCCGATAATTCGTGACTCGTTTTAATTTTTATCCGTGATGTGTATATGAAAACTTTAAGTAAATTACACCGTGTGACTCTGAACTTGTCTTTTTTGTTTAACATGTAGTTCATCTCTTTTCTCCTAATTATTGTGGCCTTGTTTAATCATGTGAACAGGAGTTGGATGGTGAATGTTGTCATCTTTAGTCATGCATGCGATCCACACCCTTAAAAAATCTTTGAATGAGAGTGCTGTATTTGCTTCATAAAGATAACTACGCAAAATTATTATCCTTTGTTTCAATCCCATGCGGTTACCCATCTTCTCTTCAATCGACAGACCTTTCCATTACTATGTCACTGTGACTTTATCTTTTAGTTACATGCCACTTTTAATTTTCAGGCAGCACCTAGCATCGTCGCAAATTTTGAGTTAAGAGTGTTTTTATTTGCCAAACTGCTCTGTTTTGCGAGGGATCATAAACAAAATCCTTGATTATCCATTGTTGCAAACAATGTCTGTTGCGCTTTTTTTCTCCTGTTTTTAATACTGTTTGTACAGAAAGATGCATTTTGTAACCATTGATAGCTATGCCATTTTATTACATGCCATTAATCTTAGATCTCATACTTCAGTTATGGATAAGGAATTTAAAAAAACTTTAAGCACTGGTCACTTGGAGGAAGCACACGTCCCACCTCTAAAAGGATTGTTTACCTTTTGCAATGTTATTGAATGTTTGTTTATTCAGAGAAAACAATGTTGCCTTGGTGTGTTTATTTCTCTCCGCGTTGCTTGATTTCTCATCCCGCGCGTGATATCGTGACTCTCATGACCTCATTCCAATGTTGTTGCGTGACATTTCAATCTTAGGGGTTAATTTTTTTTTCTCGTTGCCATGCACCCACCAATAACGTAGCTCCATTTTCTGCCTTTAAAAGCACACACAACCCACAATTCCTCTATTCGCTCCGACGAAGGGCTAACGCTCGAAACGTCAGCTTTTGTCATCATTACGGTGGCCAATTTACCATTTCAACTTTGTTGATATATCCAAATTATTAGGGGTTAATTGCTAAGCCTGCAATATGATTGGTACAAATTACTCTTCTCTCATTGGTTACTACCCATTCCACCGCATATTGTTATTATCACTGTTTATTTCAAATGTATACAATCGATTGCAAAAACGCTGACTCCTAAAGAGAGTAAGGTGTTTGAGCAGACAATGATGGAGAAGAGTAAAATTAAAAAATATAATATTGGATTGGATGGATTGCAAAAACGTTAAAACCAAAGAAGCGTATAAGACGAATGATGAGACCCCATGGCTTTATGGGTCGGATGCGCATGATAACCACCATTAATATACAATCTCTTACGTCATACCTACAGACAATAGATTTTATCTATGTAGATGTGACATCATACCTACAGACAATAGTTTTATGAGCTCTTGTCTTTACAAGTGCGACTCAGGAATATGCATAATAAAACAATTGTTGGATTCGGTTTCCCCATAATAGCGATAATTATCAAGGCCTCAGTTTATGTTATCCGTCTCAGCCTTCAGCCTCCGCAGGTAACACAAACCTTGGTCTTGATAGTCATCGCTATCATGCTCAATCTCATCCGATAATTGCTAGTTAGTTGCACTTGGTGAATAACGGAAGCCATGTAAGCTTTCATGAAAGAGACGGATCATCATGCAAAACGATTATACATGAATAATGAGAAAAGTGAGTCACTGATTATGTATCTGTGTAAACATTTCCTATAAGGCCATTTGATTTCATGTTTCATGTTTTTCAGGTGTCAACGACTGTCAACGCTTTTCCAATCGAGTATTGTAATTCCTGTTACAAGACATAAACTTTTGGAACACCCGGCACTAACCAGCAAGGTCCAGCGTTTCTTTAGTTTGTTTGCGTCTGTTCTTTACCTCTTAGATTGGGTTGTAATGATATGACTCTAGACTTAACGTAATAGGCACCTTTATTAAAAATCCATCCAAAGCCCTAGATGCAGCAAAAAGCGGGAAAACACCATCACACACAAAGATTAGACGTACCGAAAAACCATTACTCGTACATGTTCCCACCTTTGCACCTTAATGACAATTGTGAGATGGCAGAAGAAGTTTTGTTTATTAATTTACATTATTTTATGACGCAGACACACGTATTCATGGACAAAATAAGCATATGAAAGGTTGAACAGACAGATTAAACACTGCATTTACCCATGCTTTATCTTAAATTTTAAAAAAATTCTCTGGAGAATTTCCCTCTCATGGGTGAGGTATCTCTAAACGATACGAAATTGGCAAACTTTTCCGTTTCACACCGTAAAACTACCTTAGGTTGATTTGCATACCGATCTAACGAGATCCGTTTTCTCCACTACTCTTATTTCATTTCATTGGGGGGACACCAACACTGACACTTGCACTAACTGGACCGCCTTACCATTCAACTAATATTGTAAGCCATTGTTAGCAGCAAAAATTAGTTAATTGATTAATACAGCAGTTGTTACCACTGTTAGCAGATTTCTGTTCTTAATATCTTTAAATGTTGGCAAGATTGTGATGCTATTTTGATGTATTTTTTGGATATTTAAGGATTAAAGATAGATGACTTAAGATGATTAAGAAGAGCTCAAGGTATCCCTTAAAATCTTACCACTCTCTCTTTAATCCAGTTCATCAAATTTTCTCGCTAATCGCCCGTTGAGCTATAAACACGATCTAGAAGGCTGCATAGAAAAATTCGCTCCGACGAAGGGCTAACGCTCGAAACGTCAGCTTTTGTAATCATTACGGTGGCCAATTTACCATTTCAACTTTGTTGATATATCCAAATTATTGCATAGAAAAATGTTAGCACATATATGTAAATGATCAGTCCATTATAAACAACTAGACCCCAGAAGATATATGTAAAGAGCTGTTCACGCTCAATACACTTTTTAAATGCCTTCGTTGTCCGTGTCAAGGCCTGGTAGTTGGTTTAACATTTTTTCTTCCTCTTCCTTTCTTCCTCGGATATTGTCAAAATGACCCTTGAATCTATGAAGCTCGACGTCTGCGTCTTCGTTGTAGGCAACCGTTGTCCCTTTCGGCACTTGATTTGAATTGCATTTTCTGAAAGGTTAGAAGAAGACAGAATATAAATATGATTATTTACATGTTATCCTCTTTCCTAGATCTCTACGAAATTCCAAGGCTTTACTTTGTCGGTATCGGGTGGTGTCACATTTTCAACAACTAATTTATGTTCTACAGGTTCAAAAACATAAAAAAACGGAAAAGAGCTGACGTGATTATAGTAAGACAGAAAATAATTTAGCGGAAGGATATAAATGACAGTAAGGTCGAGGTAAGTATTATTGCCAATTTCCTTCTCTGGTGGTGATTTTCATATCACAATAAGATAGCTTACAACCCTTTAAACATTTTTTCTCGCACGCGATTAGTCAAAACGCACCATGTGGCCGAATATGCCCCGGCTAAAATTGGGTCAAAGGGTCTCGTTTTACTCTGGTGTCAAAGAGGGTGCAAAAGTGGCAAAAGTGAACAAAACTCACCTGCGACATCCCAGAACACAAAGTGTGATGATCAATATAGCCCCAGCTGTTGCTCCCCCAATAATGAAATACCGTTTTGGTATTTCTTCATGATTAACTTTCGGAGTCTCTGTAAAACTGCTTTTAGTAGAAGGGTCGAGGAATGCAATTGATAGGCTAACTACTGTCACGTTTAGGGCTTTTTCCAACTTTTCACGTGATGTTTCGATGACTGTCAACAAAATGTTTTTATCCAGGGCAGAAGGAGAATCAGCAGCCACTCCAGGTGGGAACTGGACGTAGATCGCAACTCGAATCTGAAAGATATGCGTGGTTCTCTCTGGATAACCTGGAAGAAGGTGAACTTGATCTGATGTGAAAAGGATGTAGTGTGGTGCCCTCCTGAAATCAAAACCAAAGAGCTATTTATTTAACTTGAAATAGATAGAGCACCCGTTGAGCTTCGCAAAACAAATTCATCTTATGTTAAAAATAAAATATGTTTATATCGTCTTTCAATAAAGCTGAATTCTGTTGTCCTGAGTCCTGGTACTTATCCTTTCGTATGGTTATAAGTTTGTTTTTATTTACATGCAAATTAAACTTATTTTATACGAATGGTTAAGCACAAGGCCTCGTTTTTAAAGAGAGGCCAAAGTTAATTCGGAAATAATCTGGATATATCAACAAAGTTGAAATGGTAAATTAGCCACCGTCACGATTACAAAGGCTGACGTTTCGAGCGTTAGCCCTTCGTCGGAGCGAATAGAGGAATTGAGGGTTATGTGTGCTTTTAAAGGCAGAAAATGGAGCTACGTTATTGGTGGGAACATGGCAACGAGAAAAACACGAATAAATTAGTGGAATGAAAAACTTCGAGAACACCTTCGCGACGTGGAAAAGAATGACAAGGACACATCGAAACCAGCCGCTAGACACTTTAGTTTACCTAATCATTCTAAGCAACATATGGCAATCTGCGGTCTTTCCTTACATTTAGGTAGCACGGAAAGCCTAAAACTCTTGAACAAAAGCTCATCTTTCAAACCGGCAGTCAAAATCCCACAGCGATCAACGAACGTTTTTCATTCCTCTAATTCATTCCTGTTTTTCTCGTTGGCCTGTTCCCACCACTAACGTAGCTCCATTTTCTGCCTTTAAAAGCACACACAACCCACAATTCCTCTATTCGCTCCAACGAAGGGCTAACGCTCGAAACGTCAGCTTTTGTAATCGTTACGGTGGCCAATTTACCATTTCAACTTTGTTGATATATCCAAATTATTTCCTTACNCTCAGCCACTTCTCCTGCTTTGTAAAATTGCATGTCTTAATTAATTCCCTGTTTTACTTTTAGTTCCCAGTCCTCCTCGTAACCTCTTGGCAGTAGCCCGAAGCACTGACTCTGTTACAGTGTCATGGCAACCGCCCCAGTCTGCAAACGGCGAAGTATTGGGTTATTTAGTAATCTATTCGGACGCTGCAAGACTGCCCCTCTCTCAGTGGAGTAATACGGGAGTCAAAGGAGTTCGAGCCACCTTAAAGTCCCTGTCACGTGACAAGAAGTACTGGTTTCGTGTCGCCGCAAAAACGTCGGTTGGTCTCGGCAAATATTCTTTGCCAATCTCCGAAAAGACCCTTAAAGACGACTGTAAGTAAAAAATCTCCACATTACTTGCCTCCGGATGAGTCTAAATAAGTCCATTTGTGTGCTCTTTGAGTCCTGATCGTTTTGTTCCACTATAGAATAAATTTATGAACTTCATACATTTATTCTATCTCACTTTTCATTCCACTAATTTATTCGTGTTTTTCTCGTTGCCATGTTCCCACCAATAACGTAACTCCATTTTCTGCCTTTAAAAGCACACACAAACCACAATTCCTCTATTCACTACGACGAAGGGCTAACACTCGAAACGTTAGCTGTTGTAATCGTTACGGTGGCCAATTTACCATTTCAACTTTGTTGATATTTCCAAATTATTTCGTTACCCCCACCGACGCAGCCCCAAACAGTTTCTTTTGAAACTATCAGCCTTTATTAATTCGGAAATAGCCTAATTAGTTATGACTAGGCTTGGTAATGATGCAGTCACCTTTTTCGAAGTCTTCTGGTTATGCAGTCTCTGCTTTCCCCACAGAAAGTGGTCACAGAATCTGCAACTGCTCCTTTGAAGACTTGCTCTACGGGTAGGGTCCACTAAATAATTGTGAAGCATGAAAGTTTTTTTGTGGTTTATAATATACTCATTAAATCAAATTCTGTGTTTCATAATCATAATGGTTAATTCGATAAGATTCTTCCTTTGAAGAAAAAAAGTTTTTCCGCCCTTTTCAAAATACTAGAGGTTCCTTTTTTGTAAATTTTTTTCACTATTGATTTTCCTGAAGGCTATTCAACGTTTTAAACCTCTCAAATTAAACCTACACTCCTGCACCCAGAACGGCCTCGTAACAACTTTTCTTCTTTTGGCCGGAAAAGTTAATTTTTTCATCCAAACCACTGGCGATAACGGTGATCATTGCAGTTTAAAATCTGGTTTTTCATAAATTCTTCAAACCTCTGTTTATAACTTTGATAATATAATTTTCGTATCACATTCGAATGAAAGGCCCTACCTGAGATAAGTTCAGTCCTTCAAGTGCGATAATAATCGCTTGACGTTTTTCAATTAAGGACGGGATTCTTGGAGTTGGTGCGGGCGGCGGAGGAGGTGGTTTCTCATTCTTATCAAGGCCTTGAGTTAAAATTAAAATAAGTCGGTAACATCATCACCAGGGAGGTCGAGTCGACATTCAAAGCTGAAAGATGACTCTTTGGAATGATCTAGGTTCAGTATGTATCCGCAGGCTAGTTACAGGAAATATATGGAGATAAATTTCCTCAACGAATAATAAATTTATATTACCGAGTGCATCCAAATAGGTCCTATCCACTTTGTTTTAACTTCTCTTGCGATGTCTCAGAAATTTGAGTTACTTATGCAGCACTCACACCGAAGCTTAAACATGTTTTAAAGCTGCTTCGTTAAACACGGTTTAAAATCTTTTTCTTCCTAGAAGATGCTTTAAGCCGATGTTTGTCGAATTCAAATTAGGCACGTTGAAAATAAAAGTTAGTGGCTTCTTGAAACCAATGGAAAAATCCAGTTTTTCAGTTCTCTATTTCTGATTTTCAATCAGTTAAACCTAGTTTAACTAAAAATGTTTTGTTGGTGTAAATGAGGTACAAGCCACACTTCATCATTTTATTAGGGTGATATGAATACGTGCGGTCTCACCTTTGCAGGTATTGTCAATCCAATAGAGTCCCTCTTCACAGACGCATATGTAAGAACCTTGAGTATTTTTGCAACGCTGTGACGAATCCTGACATTTAAAGGTCCATTCCAAGCATTCGTCTATGTCTAAGATGATAAACTAGTGTCGGTCATGTTTTTAAATAGAATAAGAAAAACGGTGAATTTTGAGCTCGGTAAAGAAATAGAAGAAGATGCTGTTCGACTTGTCGAGTGGGACAAACAGCTATTCTATTTACAAACAAGACGCTATCGAAATTACCGATCCTAGCAGTGTTCAGGACAAGTGTCATATTTGAACTTCGTAATGGGCCTTGCTCACCATAAGGTCTCTGTGGTTCAGTGGTAGAGCATCGGAGCGTGGAATTCGAAGGTCTGAGGTTCGATTCCTCATGGTACTCAGAATTTGTTCGTTGACGCTCGTGACGAGACGAACAACATCTTTCTCTAATGTCGGTCAATTAAGACCAAGTGGCCTAAGATACTTTTTAAGTCGTCTCTACGTATGCTTAGCATTTTTGGATATTTCCCTGGACTTTTTTCTTTTCTGGCTGGCCTTAGCAGTTCAGTGCGTCGCTCAATGATTGGCATATCGATAATCGACAACTTCATTGAACGCGCCATTAATTCTCAATTCGAAACGCAAATAAGTTATTATAACCAAAGTGTCTTGGTCAATATGTCCGACATTAGCAGCTTATGTTCCAGTTTAGTCGCACTGTATAGGGTGAGAAAGTGATTTACCCACAAGAATTATTTTAGAATGTGCGAGCCTAGAAATGTTGTACTATACAAGAGAATTTCATGATTAAGAGGTAAGTTGACTTACCTGAAAGAACTCCTCTTGGATGGGATGATAAGTTTAAAAATTAAACTGGTAAATAAGTTACTAAATATCTTTTTAGCCCGAAATGACGTTAGAGAGAAAGAGAGAAAGAGAAAATAGAAGGAACGCTTTCTCTCTAGGATGATGCCTAAATTCTGCCTTTACTCTACCTATGCAAGTAACATTATCAGCGTCCAGTCTAAAGCCGTCCACACAGGAACATGTATAGCTTCCTTCCGTATTGCTGCATTTATGGTTACATCTTTCTTCATTCGTTGCACATTCATCAATATCTAATGGAAAAATGGTGAAAAGGTAAACTGTAGTTGAATCACTTGCAACCCTCCAGTATAACACCCGGCTTTGAGAGTAAACGATGCCAGTCAAAAGCCATACATAAGGGGAGAAAACACAGCATTGCCAGAAATTTGGGACAAAATGGCGCAGGCTGTTCTCGTGTCGCAAGCAAGATGGCGCCGAAACAGTATAAGAAAATGTATGGGAAAAGATTGTTTTTTCAAAATAGCTGTCTAAGGATGGGATATTCTTTCGCTGCGTAGTTGGAAATGCAGCCTGCATCGGTTAAAGCGTCCATCGCTACGAAGAAGAAATATTCAAATTCAAGCCTACCTTTTCCCAAGGTATATGAGTAAACTCATAATGCTGACTCATACAAACCCACACAAACTCTTAAAATCTGCCACGACTTGGGTGTTATAATTCTTTTGTCGCGGGAACAACCTTGTGAAGATTCGCAACTGCGCAGTTCGATATGCATTCTGCAGAAGTTTGTTCAACTAAATCGCTCGTAAACGGTTGAATATGTTGGCCCACATTTTCCTGGAGCCGGGAGACTCTTCGCATTTTCACAGAGCTCAAAAGCCCAATACGCCATTTTTAAATACCCCAATTTTATGAAGGAAGATTACGAAAGATACAAGTCCCTGTAACTGCACAATTTCGCCGCCATTTTCCTTGTTTTTCCGTCTCCTTTGGCTTTCTGGGATAGTAAGGTACCAGGCTTTTCTCTGGCGGGGTTTTACGAAAAAAGAAAGTTACGTGTTCACTTCACTTCAACCGCCGCCATACTGAATTGTCTGTAATACGATATACTGCTGACATTTCGTAACGGGCTCGAAATGTCGCCGATTTCTGGTGATGGACTTTAAAAACATTTTTCAGGACATAGACAAGGCACTCCCTCCTTTTAAAATGCTTTTGCCGCTGTCTCTAATGATTAATATCTTAAATCACTGCACGTAGATCATTTGGTGTCAGATATACTTCTCATTTCCCATAGAAAAACCAAACACAGCATTCCTTCTTCTTCAGGTACATACAAATTGAGGGTTTAAAGACTAAAATCTTCTCTCAGGATTGTGCAATTTATTTCTGTCAGGTAAGCTGGTTAAAGTAAACTAGCCGTAAATTTTACTTCAGATAGAGTCGTTCCATTCCTCATCAATTTATTGATCATAAAGAAAGCAAGTTGTACTCTCTGAAAGTACATTGATACTTTATTTACTAGGTTCTGGTCACCCAATTCAAAGATGCATAGCTTACAATATGATTGTAAATTTAGCTTTAGATGGTAACGTTTTTAAACGGGAAACACTATCCGTTGCTATCTTGAACGCGACTGACTGTACAGGCACCGTTGCCACCTCTCTTTCTTTAAACTAACTGCAATAAACTCCAACTTAGGTCGTTCACTCTCTATCAATATAATTCGAGACATTCTATAGTTTTTATGCATCGTATCTTCAAAACACTTGCACCTACCTTTGCAAGTATTTCCATCGCCTGCAAGAAGATAGCCCCGTCTACAAGCACATTGTTGAATTTTGTTTGAACCAAAATAACAGATTTGCTGACAACTATTTTTACCTTTCTGACATGGAGAATCAGCTGAAATGAAATGGTTTATAATATTTATGTATTTTTTTCATAAACTATGTTTTTTTTACTTGAAAAAAAAAAAAAAACACGTACAGAATCCAAATATTCGTACCCATCTATACATTAGAAACATTACTTACGATGGTATCTGACATCATTTACAATGGCCACGTGACTTACATGTACATTTAACAATCATAAAACTAATAGAGAAGCTGGTTAAACATTATAAAACGGAAACTTGCAACACAATATTTACACTACCTAACAGTATTTACTAAGTACAAGATAAAATTAATCACACATCTTAAAAGAATCGCAGTGCAGATCAGGGTAACTTAGGTTACTAGATAAGTTTTTTCACACAATTGTAATTTAAGATTATTTATCGTACATTATCAGCAGCTTCGGGGAAAGCTTTTTTAAATTCACTTACGTAAACAGTTTTTGGGATTCGAGGGGTCCACTTTGAAGAAATTATCACAGCTACAGCGGTATCCACCATTAGTATTTTCACACTTGTGCATACAGTCGCTGACAGGAATGCATTCATTGACGTCTGTTAAAAAAGGTGAATAAAGAGTTATACCTAAACGGATAGGGTTTGTGCGGGTAGATTTTAGTTCTATTACGCAGTGGTCCACTAAAATAACCACTACCCATTATAACTTACTACGCATTAGAGCTTACTCAGAGATGTAGTAAGAGAAAACGTGGTGATTTGGTGCTTTACCATCACATTTCTTCTGGTCAATGTTGAGTAAATATCCTTTTCTACAGTCGCATGTAAACGAGCCTGGTGTGTTGATACAGACTTGACTGCATCCTCCGTTAGACCCAAGTGAACATTCGTCAATGTCTGAGAAAAAGGAATCAGTATTAGCTAATATTGTATTATTTGTGGGCTACAGGAGAATTGTATTTTTTTTCAAGTTAGAACCTTCTTCTCCCTAATATATACTTTCGGGTAATGCAATACTATTTTCTAAGTTGGAGTTTTGCTTTCGCTGTTAAGATTCCTTAAATTTCTTACCCCTAGTTTTTTTCGCAAAGAGGCTTTAGTGGTTACCCAATTTCGACCCTTTCCTATTCAAGTAACCTGGGGTGGTTATTTTACTAACTAGACTCGATTCTCGTTATAAAAAAGTTCGTGTTGGAATCAGGTCGATGGAGTTGTCTTGTATTGTAGCAATACCACAGAAACACAGAGTCAAGGTCAGCTGGTTAGTATACATTATTTCCTTCTCAAAGTTCATGCCCTCTTATATAGTTAATTTTTAAAAGATTGTATAGGTATTTTTTTGCCTCGCAAATTTCTTATTCTTTCGGGTACCTTGATTGATTTGTCCTGCTTTTTCTTACATTTCAGCAGAATTGACTTTTACTCTGAGATTGAACCATGGATATGTTTGCCTCTTCGCAAATACGTATGAACATAGTTAATCGATTATTCCTCTCGATTAACTGTGGTATGAATTGAACTATGGTGGCAATCGTTAAAGTACCCCTGAGATCAAAATTTTCGTACATCATTTTTTTCCATTTTCGTGTTCAGTGTGTCTCCTCCACCAAGTTTGCCAAATTTCAGTTTAGACCGAGCACCAGAAATATCTTTTTTCGGGCCGTTAAATTCACGATTTCGCGTCCGCCATTATTTGATCATGTTCCGGAAGTTGATCGCAGGACTCAGAGGAAGTGACGTCAAAGGCTCAACGCGAAAATCTCAAATGGCAAAATGTCAAGCAAACATAACAGAGTGCTTTACTCTATTCTCACAAAAACTAAACAAAAATGACTGGGCATCGATACGTAATTCAAAGCTGAAGTAACCGTGCAGACCATGCTGNACACAGAGCGTAAAAACACTTTAAAATGTAGGCTTGCAGCCAAAAAACCGAGAAAATGAAAATTTCTTTAAAAACCTGTCAAACTATCAACCATCTGACAGCCAAGTCAGCGTGCTATCAAAGGGTCTCAAATTCATCCCAACGCCCGTGACAAACGAATTCCAAATCAGGCCAACCTTTGCGAGATTTATTCGCAAGACGAATGCGCCTCCGTTACACCTTTCACGGACAAAACAAAGAACCACTTCTGTTTCATATCAAACTGAATGCCATTGGTTCAGTGTTCTATCGCCCTTCAGAGCTACTTGAAAAATTGTCATAACGCCACGTGCAGACTGCATCTAAGCCAAAAAATACTTTGTAACGCAATGAGGTCACGGCTCTAAAAGAGTTAAAACAAACTCTGCTTTAAACCTCACCGAAGCCTCACAACAATAGTCATCATGAATAAGACAGAAAAAACAAAAGAGGTCAAAGTACAACTCAAAAACAGAGTTCACTTTAAACCTCTCAAAGCACCGATAGTAAAAAACACGTAGGAAAGGTTAATGAGGTCATTGACCAAATGCATCGGGGAAAACACATTGATGGCTTAGAAATGGCTTTCACAAACTCCCAATATCTGCCTTCGGATACACAATTAGCCATTGCCGAAAACCATTTTTAATAATCACCCGATCATTTCTCACAAAAAAGGAAAATCCATTACGACAAGCAAAAATACAGTTCGAAGGCGATAAAGCGATGCGACCACAAAAGCCACATGGGGAGTCCGTGCCGTTCTGTGTTTATATCTTTATTCGCATGGCAAAAATTCATCGTTTGTCGGCGCAAAACTATCCACAGAAGCTTCAGATGATTCCTGGGACAATTCACCGTCTGAAAAAGTCGACATTTCCCGACTGACGACGAAACAGTCCTCAAAAAAGTAATATGTCTGATTCTCCATGCAGCGAACAAAGAAAGTTGTGACAAAGCAAAGCATAAGTTTGTTGAGCCTTTGACGTCATGATGACGTTTTTGCGGGCTAGGCTGGAACATGTTTTCAGCAATGGCGGACGATTTTTGGAGAACTTTGAAGCGGTAAAAGTTGGTCGTGGAAGGTTTTTTTTGAGTTTTTAATGGCAAAAAGGGTCTTAACTTGACCCAATTCAACATTGTGTAAACAGTTTAGGCCAAAATAAAATGGTCAATTTTCCTCTCAGGGGCACTTTAAAGACGAAACATTGAAACCTCGACATTTGGATCCATCTCCCGTGAATCCGTTAGGACAGGGTCCACATTTGTAGCCAGATATATTTGCTGGAGGGGGGAGGTCGATGCATTTTACACCGGGGTAGCATGGGTTGAGATTTGCTTCACATGCGTCAAGATCACTTTCGCAGAACGTTCCTGTATACCCATTTAAACAACCACAGTCTAGTACATTCATCGTGTTGCTTTCATGCGTTGAGTTTTTGTTGCTTGCTGACTGAAGGCAAACGCCATCGTTGTGACAAGCACAGAGATTAATGATGGGCCTCAAGAATGCTGTTGCTCCCTGATCGTCTTTTACCACGAATTCTAATTCAATCTGAAAACAGAGACGCCTTAGTAGGTAACACGACATTCTCTTTGGATAAGAAAGACAGAAAGGCAGCCAGAAGCTATGCTATGAGCTATAGCCACAGTTACCAATCAATCATAACCATCAAAGACAAGTAGGAAAATATCTCCCGTAGAGATAATGTCTAAAAAAACAAATCCTATATTCTGGAAATTCCCGAGTATTTTTTTTAGGATAATTGGTTGTTGCTATGGCCATTGGGATCAATTCTGTGATTGGAGGATTTAGCCGAGTGGTGTTAGTATAATTGGCTGCTTTAGCTGTCCGATAATAGGTGTCGAATTATAGCCAATTGTCCGATTTCAAGTAATATATCAAAAACGAGTGCGAGTGTTTCATCATGTATTCCAAACACCGAGAAACAGATGGAAGCACCAGGCCGCAGGCCGAGTGCTTTATTGTTTCGGGGTGTTTGAAACCCCTGATGAAACACGAAACACGAGTTTTTGAGATCACTTCTCCTCAAATGAAACAATAAAAAAATATGCAGTGATACATTTTTTTCCATTGTCCTGCCCGAATGAAAGAACAGTAATTTATGCAGTGATGCAATTTTGCCATGTTCCGTAACATTACGTTAACATACATAGACCACTTTCATAAATGGCTGCCGGATTAATATTCTTTTGTTTAAATTTAAATTAGCTCTACTGGCCTCGTTCTCCACTACAAAATTCAAAAGAATACATTATCTCAAGCGAGGCCAGTAGGGCTAATTTAAATTTAAACAAAAGAATATTTATACGGCAGCCATTTATGAAAGTGGTCTATGCATAATTATCGTTTTGGTGTAGTTGGTGAGTGGCTATGAGTGAAGACAGAGTAGGAAGATTTAGGAAGCCGAAAATGATTAACGAAGAACGCTAGTTAGTCGAAAAAGCTATTCCCTCACACCAAATGTAAGAACAAATGGGCGGTAACAATTTTTGGCGAATGCCAAATTTCTCGGTCGTTTATAGATCCAGCAGCGCCCCTTAAAGACTATGATTTACTCAAGGTCATACAGCTTTCTACCAGCATTGAAGAAATGGATGCAGTAACCTTGAATTACTGGCTTAGCAAGTTTGTGATGGAGGTAGCCAAGAAGTTGGGGGAGAGATATCTAAAGAAGACCGTCTATGAAATAATATTTAGGTCATTTTTGGAAGTTTCGTTAACGATGTATTAATTGTTAAGAATCCTCATGAAAATGCAAGTGTTTGATATTAGATCAAAACCATGTTTCATCTCAGATCAACACCCTTAACATTTTCATCTGAGCGCTCATTGGGTATCAAGGTCCATGCATGTGACCTAAATATGCCTCACTTATGGGCTGTTACACTCATGAGTTTGACTATAACTCTGCAGAATAAGTAGTGAAAATAAAGGCAGCTAATCACATTTGAGGAAATTGTAATGGTCATGACTGTAAGAAATATCAATCGCCGGTATGATTAATTACAGAATCATACGAACGAACAAGTGCCCAGAAAAGTAATTTTGCATCTAAATGTATTTTCAAAGGAAACCATGCGGTATTCAATGACAGAGTACCTGTTGGTTAGTTCCTTTCCACGTAACTGACACAGAGTTGGAGGTGTTTTGTAGAATAGCTGCACGAGGAAGAATGCCAAAAACAGAGAATACCAACGTGTCATTGTTTGGGTCTTCTGCAACCACAGTCACACTAATACTCTGATTCACAGTGACATTAACCTTGGAGAGTTGTGTGATGAACCGTGGTGGATAATTTTCTGTCAAAAATTAGAAGATAGTATTGGTTATTATACAAGACATGTACATTACAATGAAAACTTCGTTGTATACAACGCTTGGCTCGGTATTAAAATATTTTTTGCTTGTGGTGCGTTTGGCAGCTATCAGTTCGTCGGAAGGCCCATTTTGGCCTCTCACACAAGGTGCTGCACTTAAAATCTTGAATAAAGGAAAGAAAACTTGACTTCCAGCGACCTTTCGAGCGATCTAAGTGAGGTAACTTACTTAGAGAAGATGACTCTTTTTCCAGTATAGACGACAGTGCTTTTGTGCTTGCACCCACTGAGACATCCTTTGTAGAGGCGGAATCAAATAGGCAGTTGAGATCTCCTTGGCAAACTTCTTCTGCTTGTTTGCGTAAGGTTTCATTTGGGAAGGAAAGATCTTCCAGAAACATAGGGACGAAAGAGGTATTTTCGAAAGTTTTCAGGCTTTCCCCTGGTTTGTATGTGAATAACGAGGAATTGTTGTCTACCTGCCCTATTAAAGAGAAAAGGAGGAAAGGTGTCAATGTGACCAATTTTTTCTTTTCTAATTTAAGGAATACAACAGGTGCCGGACAGATTACCTAAACTTTCCTTGGACTCCTTGACGGCTATCAATTCCGGCCTAAGATAACGAACGTTACTGACTTCAACTCCAGTAATAAAAGACTGCACTTGTTTGATCGTTTCTCACTTTCTTATGGCTGGATAATTATGGTAGTGATAGGTAGACTAAAAGTACGTTGGGCTCTATGAAAAGCACTAAAAAATTGTCTTGTATAGTATATTGCTTGCTTTGCTTCACTGACTAAGCTTAAAGGGCACTGACGCTTGGTGGCAAAGCGCAGATTTTTGTAAAAGTTTGAATCTCATAGAGGGGGACAAGGGGGGTTCTGAATTACGCAGCACCGCAAACAAAATGGAACAAACACTGCATCACCGCACCACCGTAAGGTTTGAGATTACCACAACACCGCAATGCGAGTTGTTCTTCACCGCAATACCGCATTTAAAAAGGGGTCAACACAGCAACATCGCAAACTCCGATGTTCCCCTCCGCATAGGTAAATAAAACTTACTTAAAATGATATAAGTCAACGGTGAGAAAATCGTTTTCAAACAAAAAAGCAAAGCTAACATCAAATACAATAGTCACCTTACTGATTACATAAAAGCAATTAAAACTTTTAACTGAGTAGGAAAACTTTACTCACAAAGGAGACCAAAATTGTAATGAATGTCCTTGCTGTTCGCATCTGAGGGCAAAATTTCTCCATTGGGCGTCAAAAAGTCGTCTTCAGGATTATCATTCCATGTTCCCAGCAGGCCTTTTGTTTGATTCTTGAAGCTCTTTGGTGCAGCAAGTACAATTGAAAGTACTCCCGAAACAGCTTTCACTGTGACTGACATTCCCGATGGAAAAACCATCAAGAAGGAGTCGTTGTCAGGTTTAGCAACAACAATAGACCCATTAAGTGTCACAGATTCGTTTGAAAGACTAGTGTAATTGAAGGACTCTCCATCAATCAACACGCTTATTCCTGTCGATGAAAGTAGTCGATAAGATCATGCGACGAAGACTCGTATTAAGGGAACAATTAATTAACACTCATTTCCAAGAATTTAGTTGCCTAGGTATGTAAAAAAAGAAAAAAGAAAAAAGACTGGACAGTGAACGTTACGGTAAAATTGGCGAAACTTCCGGATAGAAGATTTTGCAATCCATAAAAACCAGTACATTTTGCTTAGTTACTGACCTGCATCGATCATTTCAACCTGAACAACACTAGAACTGCCTTCCTTCGCGACTGCAGCAGAAAACACTGTCGCTGTTCCATCGCCTTTAGCCAGTTTTGTTCGAGCTTGTAACTGAAAAAATCCATTACGAGCATCGGCCATTATGTATTCACCAAGACCATTAAACGTGTAGTTTTTACCATCCAGAGTGACAAAATGAGGGTCACCCCAGAGCCAACCTAGAAGCAGAAAAATCATCTGAAGTATATTCTTGATATCACTTATATTTTGAAACAAGCAAATTGAAGACGAGAATAATGCCTAGATTGCAAGATTCTACCGAGTGCAAGGACGGTTTCAAGAAAAAGTTATGTGTGTGTGGCACACAAGAGTTTAAAAGATTTAAAAACTATCCCTAAACACCCACTTATTCGAATTCGCTGGAAATAAATATTCTGATTTCTCAAAGACATTTTCCATGGTTAAAACTGATTTACGTTAATAAAACCATAGACTACTGTTGTACTCGCATACATCGCCAAAGCGTATTCCCCTAGTAGAAGAAAGCTTAGAAGCTATACCACGAGGGGCATTTATTTTTACTTTGTTATCACAGATTCTAGATAAAATCCTTACTCCATTCTGGAACCATATAATCTCCACAATCGTCGGAAGGACGTCTTCTGTAATATAAGTCACACAGGTCTGAGTTGACACAGCACTTTTGATAGCCTTGTACGTCGCTTGAGTCGTGTTTAGCCCTTAATTCCTCTGTCCACTTGTGGTATCTATTTGCAGAACCTCCTCCAGGATTTCCCACGAGCAGTGCGCCCCAGCTTTGCCAGTTAGTGGAATAACAACATTCCTGGCCCCACCCATCTGGTGAAGGGAACTGAGCGTAGGCACACATTCTTGGCCAGTCTCTCCAGTTGATTGAGAACCTTTCGTCCCACCATGCTTGTCTCAAGATACAAGGACAAGGTTCGAGGTCTTCAGTGTAGAATCGAGGATCTGGTTGCACTTTGAACCAGTCAATGCACTCTTGTCTTGCGTTTCGTTTTCCAAGGGATTCTTCCAGTCGGAAGAACCACTTCCCAACCATGTCAGCGTTGCCTCTTATTCCATCGATTGTTTCGATGTTTACGGTACCCGATCTAGAAGGTAGACAACAGGGAAATTTACACATAGATCAGAGTGTCTTCCAGCCATTTAAAAGATAGAGTCCTTAGCAGCACAACTTACCGTGGCATGTTATGTTTCCTTTCTTCTTTGTCTCCAGCATTCCAACCAACCACAGGCAAACCACGCGCATTAGAATAATATCGATAGTACATTCTGCAATAGGTGAGGAAAAACCTGAGTCAACTCTTTTACAATTCCATGTTTAAAATAGATGAAAGCAGCTATAGAGCCATTGAGCCATGACAAGGTAGCTAATGGAGTGACACTTTTTTTTATAACCAGAAGCTTATAACCCTGAAGCGATTATGTATATCCGAGAGCCAGGTTTTTTTTTTTAGAACATGAAACTAGCCAATCAAAATTTACTTACTAATATGGAGTTGTTTATCTTAAATTATTCCTGATTCGTAGTGAGTGAAACTTTACCTCGGCACAAATTTAGAATACGTTATGAAATTGCAGTTTTCAGGCTGCAAACTCGAGCATAGTATAGAGAATCGACCAAACATGCATATTTATGAGAGGACACAAACCGCAGTCATTATTTGAAACGTTTTGTACGCGTTGTGAGTTCAACTGACCGCCAGATAGGGTCCTAAGTATATCACAGATTTGTGCTATTCCTACCTCAAGAAAGTGTATTCGCGTTCTACGCATCGGTTGCGATATGGTTTTTCTTGCAGTTTCTCAATGGGAATTTTTAATACTAACTGTGTTGATTTTAACCCAAATCAAGTAGTATGAATGGAATGGGTGTTGCCAATTTTTTTGGACGATTACTCTTTAATTAATCATTTGATATCGGTTTGTCACTGGTAAATATTGCCAAAGACAGTTGGTTTCGGGCTCAAGAGGACTGATGGTACCAATGTGATGGTGCGCAGATAATGCAACTTATAGACAAGCTTATTCTCTCATAGAGACCACCATTTAAGTAAATCTAAACTAGGTAGGCCTCTACTAAGCAAACCTCTGGGTGGGAGCAGACCACTGCAGGCCGTTCTTTGGATAATTGTACATCGTGAAGGAGTACACTCCATTTGTGATCAAGACCAACTGAAACGTATTTCCCTAAAGATTCAATGTGATAAGGGATAAACGAGAACTTATATGGTGAGCTAAGTTATACACGCTTTGTGGTTGGTTCTTACTTACGATCAAAACGATTAGATGACGCAATAATTAACCATATTTATATTAAAGGAGCACTCTTATGAAACCTACCTATAATTTGAAAATTCGAAAAACTCAGTTATTTCATTATAATATGAATTTTTATCGATTAATAAAGCCTTTTCAATAATAATTTTAGTTAAAAGTCACTTCTAGGGCGAGAAATTACGATTAGAAAACCGTCCCGCCATTAATTTATCCAATTTACTTTACTTCATTTCTATTTTTGCTCACTATTTCTATTTCTATTGTTATCTCATTGTCAATCAAATTAGTTCTACATATTTCCGCTGTTACATCATACAGCTATCTATGAAGCATCACCCCAATTCTCTGTTAATTCCCACTGCACCTGAAGAAGGCTGGTTTGGCCAGCCGAAATATAGTTCTCCGTCTTAAAATTTACTTATCTACGTTGTATCGGTCTTGCCTATCTATATTCGTTATTTTGGGCCGATTAGATCACTGCTGATCCAACGTACAAGAGAAGGATTATCGTCCACGGTTGCTTGCTAAACATTTCACAGATAAAAGAATGGGCGTTTTTTTTAAATGATTAGCTGACTTACGGGATTATTCTGCGACCAACTTTCCCTTTGAGTGTTTTTGGCGGTTTCCTTCCTATCCTTCTGAGC